TGCTAATCTGGGAACTATGTTTGGCTAACAGTAAATAATAATAACGATTATGGGAGTGGCAAAGAAAATAAAGGTGTGTGTGTGTGTGTGTGTGTGTGTGTGTGTGTGTGTGTGTGTGTGTGTGTGTGTGTGTGTGTGTGTGTGTGTGTGTGTGTGTGTGTGTGTGTGTGTGCGTGTGTGTGTGTGCATGTAGTGGGGATAAATATACACAACTAGATATATCGTCATACACAGACAAATATATATGTAAAGAGAGAAAACATGTTTATTAAAGAAATTGAAATACATGCAACAGCTATTATGATAAAGAGTCAAGATCTCCATCCCATTCACCATTTGTTTACGAAGCACCAAACCCTCTGTGACTGAATTTTAATTGTTGACAAAAGGCCCCGTGAGTGAACGCAGCCTATTTCGAAAGCCAGGTGTTTTCCATGCGGCTTCCACTGCAATAACACAAACTTATGACAACTCTGGGAAAAGACCGTGTTCCCTGGAGGACCTTGCGCTGCAGGAGTGAGACCAATAAACGATCGAATGGGCAGTAAAGGTAAAAACAACGACCGTTACCGTAACTGAAATATGGAAAGGCGTGTGTGAACTGGGAAACGATAACCGGTTATGGGAAAGCAAGAATGGGCCAAGAAGTCGGATCGTCGGACACAGGAATCGGTGTTAGGTTTTGTAGAGCAACGAGCTGGTCAGCGTTAAGAGCGGAGGCTGAGGAAAACGAGCAAGAAATAAAGCGGGAAGAAAACATCATTTAAATCTTGCCCGCATACGAATCCATTATCACTCAGCACCATTTAACGTCGTCTCGCGGACAGGATAAAAACAACAGCATAAAAACTTGCGCCATTCTAACACCTGCGGCTCCTGCCCCTCGCTCTCTTACCCCTGCCCCCTTCCCGTCGCCCCCCCCTTCCCCTAACCCCAGCCCCCTGCCCCCTTCCCGTCGCCCCTGACCCCTTCCCCCACCCCCAGCCCCCCCCCGGCCGTGCATCTCCTTCCTACCAGGCTCTTGCCCTTTGTCCCTCCCGTATCTCCGTGGCTCGTCCCCTTCTCGTAGATCGCTCACTTCGGCGATCGTGGAAGCCCAACTTTGGTCTGTCCTCCTCCCGCCCCTGTGTCTGGTGTCGCCGTCGAGCGTCCCAGGGTGTCGGCCTTTCCTCCCACATCTTGCCGCGGCCCCACACCTGCACCTCGGCCGCTGGCGAGTGTGGGGGAGGGCCGTTATGGCTTTGGCTGGGTGACCATGATAATCTAGACTCTTATAAGCCCATGGAAATGTGACTCTCTCTCTCTCTCACACACACACACACACACACACACACACACACACACACACACACACACACACACACACACACACACACACGCACACACACACACACACACACACACACACACACACACACACACACACACACACACACACACACACACACAACACACACACACACACACACAACACACACATACACACACACACACACACACCTAACAAAACTCACCGAGCTACCCCCACCCACACCAGCTCCACCTACCCACATACCCAAACAAACACCCAAACACGAAGATCCACTTGCCCCACCGCGACCAGCTGGGCAGGCGGGTATATCACGTACCCACCCACGTTGCCCTATGAATGGTTTTGTGTATCCATGAATGACCAGCCCGGCCTTGAGAACCCCAACTCAGCATCCATTTGCAGGGCTGCGCCGCGAAGCTAATGTCAACATTTATTATCACAGAGGAAAAAAAAAAAAGAAAAAAAAAAAAGAATCCCGCCCGAGATAGCCGGCACAAACAGCCCCGGTATTGAACGTCTGACCATATTTATTTGAACACGAGAAAAAAAAAACATATACGCTTGAACACCTGGCCAACTGAGGCTGTTGCGCATCCGGGATGACGGCGCTGTTGTTGCTGTCGCTCAGTGATTAGTTTTTTTTCGTTCCTTCTGCGGGTCGAATATTGCTGGCGGGGGCGGGCGGAGGGAGCCAAGGGGAGGGGCGAAAGGGAGCCAAGGGGGCGTGGCAGAAGGGAGAAAAGGGAGTGAAGGGGGCAGGAAAGGGAGCGAAAGGAGCCAAGGGGGCGTGGCGGAAGGGAGAAAAGGGAGTGAAGGGGCGGGGCGGAAGGGAGCGAAGGGGAGGGCGAAAGGGAGCCAAGGGGCGTGGCGGAAGGGAGAAAAGGAGCGAAGGTGCGGGGCGGAAGGGAGCGAAGGGGGAGGGACGGAGGGAGGCGAAGGGGCGTGCGGAAGGGAGCAAAGGGAGCCAAGGAGGAAAGGGAGAAAATGGATCCAAGGGGGAGGGGCGAAAGAGAGCCAAGGGAGCGTGGCGGAAGAGAGCGAAGGGGGCGAGGCGGAGGGATTGAAGGGAGCGAAGGGGACGGAGGTGAGGGCGAGAGGTAGAGGTAGGGAGGGAGATAGAGCAGAAGGAATGAGTCAAGGGTATAATAATAAGAAAGAAAGGAAAGTTCGCAGAAAGATAAAGGGGAGAATGAAAGGAAGACGTAAATAGCAAGAGGCGAAAGAAAGGAAAAGAGGGAAAGTCAGTACGGAGAAAGAAGAACAATACTAGAAGGAAAGGTGAGTAGGAGAAAGCAAGCGGAAAGAATAAAAAAGGGGTGAGCAAATGCAGGAAGAATGGAGAGTAAGAGGGAAAACTAAGAAGAAAAATAAGAAGAGAAAAACAAAGGAAAATAAGAGAAAAATGGAAATAAGAGCGAAAATAAGAGGAAATAACTAATAAGAGGAAAATGGAAATAAGAGATAAAACAAGAGTGGGAAACTAATTCAGAAGAGAAATAAGAAAAATAAAGCAGAGGAAAATAAAAAGAAATGAGAAGTAAGAAGGGAAGAAGAGGAAAAATAAGGAGAGTGGACTGTGTTCTTGCGCTGAGCTTCCCCGTGATGGAGATCGCGTCTCGGATGGCCATCTTTATTCTGTCGTTCCGGGATCAACTTTTTTTTTTTTAGTCTCGTGGCGTCCGTTTCGCAAGAGAAGAACGAACAACCAAAAATGTGTTCGTGCGAATTAAAAATGGGTTAAGGTAAATCTTGTGTCTCGGAGCCCCCTGCATTATGAGAAGGTATTATTTCCTTAGTCCGCTGGAAAAGGAAACTCGGGACCCTACTTAAGTTTGTCCGGAAATAACAAGAACGCGACCTTCTTTTGTTTTATTCTGAGACTCCCACCAGAATCTCCCAGTGCCGAATACAAGCCTAAAATATAATGTAACAAGGAGGATAAATACGAAAATATATAACTAATAGACTATCAATAAATTATCAATTATCAATTTTAAATGTGATTGGCTAAGAAGTTGATTTGACTCATCTTCCTGTGCCGAATACAAGCCTAAAATATAAGGTAACAAGGAGGATAAATACGAAAATATATAACTAATAGACTATTAATAGATTATCAATTATCAATTTTAGATGTGATTGGCTAAGAAGTTGATTTGACTCATCTTCCAGTGCCGAATACAAGCCTAAAATATAATGTAACAGGGGGGATAAATACAGAAATATATAATTATAAGACTATCGATAAATGATTAATCATCACTTTTAAATGTGATTAGCTTAGAGGCTTATTCGATTAACCTAGATGATCTCGGCGATGAAGCGTGAAGGCACTTCAAGCACACCACGCTGAACACAAAACATAATATAAATGAATTAAGAAAAACACAAACCGTAACATTTCGCTTCAGACGTCTCATCGTTGCATAATACACGATGATATATACAAGAATAGATTCGACGTCATGCAGTGCAGTCGGTTAACCAGTACAATGATTTTTCTTCTTCTTTTTTGACGGAGCAAGTGCACCGCGCCGAGACGAGCAGTAGCGTGACATTAAAACTCACTCTAATCCGCTTTAAGGGATCGCATTACCGTAACATTAATGGCGACACGCAGATAGAAACCCGTCCTCCCTTTTCTTCCCCTTTTAGCGGGTAATGAGTTACCGGGAGCAGGCCCTGTGGGCGACCGCAGGAGCGTCTTGTTCCTGCATTTCGCGTCTCGCCTCTTCCCTCAGCCCTCCCTTCTTTCTTTTCTGTTTTCTTCCTTCTTGCTCTTCTCCCTTTTCCTTTCTGTGATATCTTCTCTCTTTCCTCCTTTAATTCCCTTTCCTGTCCCCTTCGTTTTTTTCTTTTCCTTTTTTTCCTCTCCCTACCCTTCCCTTTCTTCCCTCCTCTTCATTCTCCTTCCCTTCCTCTTCCCTCCTCCTTCTCTTCCTACCCTATTCCTTCCTTCCTACCCCTCCCCTCCTGTTCCTCCTCCCTTAATCCCTCCTCGTTCCCTCCCCCATTCCCTCCCTCCCCCCTCCCTTCCCTCCTTTCCTCCCCTTTCCTATCCCTCGCTTCCCTTCCTATCCCCTATCCCTTCCCTCCCCTTCCTCCTCCCTTCCCCTCTGCCTGTCCCTTACCCCCCCCCAACACCGCCGAGCGCGCCTCTCATTCTCCTCTAATAATGACTTCTCGGCCCCTCCAGCGCGCGCCGTCGCCTGCCCCTCATGTAAAGTTAGCAAAAGACGAGGTTTCACAAAAAGAACCTCCCTGATAACTACGTCCCGCCAGCTAAAGCCTACAGGGGGCTGCGATGGTGTCAGATTAGACGAGATGATTAAAAAACAGCCGCGTAAAAAAGTCACTTCGCTGATGGAAGAGCTGTCTTGTTTACATAAATAATACTAGCTGTGTGTAGGTAAGTATAGTGTGTTTGAAAAGAGGAACGTTAATATTCATGATTTATCCTCTGTGTGATTATGATTCAATTGTGCTGGGGAGATTACAAATCATAAATCATAAAACAAAAGTACAGAATGTATAAATCGGTGTTCTGGCATTGAAAGCAGTCGATTAGTGAGAATAATAACCAGGCTGATGAGATAATTATCACTTTAATTAGAAAATGTGATCGGATGGAAAGAGGATTTAGCTATTTGAT